CATAACCAAATAGTTCTCTTGAACCCACTTGGTGTATGTTGGATCCTCCTTGGAAGGTTCTTTCACATCTCCCAAGAGGTAACCCAGTTTTCCCCTTCCTCCAATAGYCATCATGGCTGATTGAGCCCACTCCAAGTAATTTGACCCATCAAATCTCATAGCTGTAATCTGAAACCCGGTTTCAAATACACTACCATAACTGTTGTTTCCAAAACTACTTTCTCCCTGACCCTTAAACTCCATCTTTGATCAAGAATCAATAGCTACAAATTGTTAGAGCCACTATACCAGAAAACAGAGTAAAATCAAGCAGGTCTGAAATCTGATCTGAAACCAACACAAATGTGATCTGAAATCTGATTTGATCTGAAACCAACCCAAATCTGATCTGAAATCAATCGGCATGCACAGTACCAGGCAGCCTGTCAATTTGAGATGTTATTTTTTGAAATCACTACTGTGGGGCCCACTGCTGCGAGAGCAGAATTAGGGTTTCAACTATAGGTCTGAAAAAAGTGTTCAACTACACTCTCCAAGCAAACTGATCACCTCTGAGAGGGGGGCTTCGGCCCAACAGTCAAACCCTAGAAACAAACTTAAAACAGTTCGGCATCTCCTTCTAGATAGGTCCAACCTATCTCGACTGATTGCAGTCTCTGAAACTAAATAAAAAAGACTTACTTATGGATTTCGGTTTACTGCCTTCTAGGGTTACCTGAACCCTAACCTTCGTTGCTTCTTCCTGATTACCAACTCTCTGCAAGCCGCGGCAAGTCCTCAACTGCTGCGAACCTCTCCTGGTAATCTCCAAGATTCAACCGCCGAATACTTCTTCATAAGCTTCCAGCCCTATCTAGTCCTCATGTGATCGGCTGGACTAGACACACATGAGAAGCCGTAGATAGGCTCTGATACCAAGTAGAAGATCAAGACTGTAATTAGTCTTGAATCCTAATAGGTTTTAGGTTTACAAAACAGAAGAAAAGTAAGAGAAAGGAGAAGGAATAGAAGAGAAACAGGAGAACACAAGGGGTTGAAAGGAGGGACAGATTCTAACAGATCTGCCGCCGCCACTCTCTTATTATTTATAGGTTATGTTCAGTATGTTAGACAGTTTTGTATGCCCTTAGCTTCAATCAGAATGATGTACTTTATGAGTTTATTGTAAAT